TAAGTTAAAATTTTTGCAATTTTTTTGTAACTATATTAACTTAACAAAATTACAGGTCAGGGAAAATTTATTGATTCAAAAATATCTTGAGGAGGTATATGCAGTAAAAATGATATAGCTTGATCCTCTTCCTGGTTACGATGAAAAAAAAATAAAAGGAAAGTGGATATTTGAAAAAACAAATCCCTTGCCTTCCCATATATTTGTGATTGATGCTACCTCCTGTCTTCTGATAATAAAAAAAAAAAATGAAGAAATAGTAGTTCATTATAGAGTCTCCAACAAGGTGATACTGGCTGTATACCGAAATCATATTGGACCCGATATACTTGAACTTATGAGAAGCACAATTATCGACATGTTTGTATTGCGTTGACAAGTTGCCTGATCATCAGAAATCAAAGAATTGGATCAGGGTGCCTTAACAGTTGCAGGATATATATTTAACTGTACTTAAGTTTTTAATTTTTAGAATTTTATTAATATTAATGCTTGCAGGTATCTTTCCACGAGAGAAAGTGGAATATTTATCCATGTGCATAATATACCTGTTGAATTATGAGGGTCTGAAAGACAATATTTGCAAGAAGAGAAAGTTGTAGCGATGAACAGTTTTCTTTTAAACTATGCCATGCATATATTTCCCGAGGATGTAACAACAAGTATATAAAAAAAAATAGAAGAATACAATCTACCCCGGCTAGATAGCAACAAATATGGTACTACCAACAAAGAAATTATAGTTTCTTTTGATAATAAAAAAATATATTTAAACCATCCTTTAGGTCTATGTGAGGCCTATATAGTCTAGAGATACAGCAAGTTTGCCCACACTGATCTTAATTTTTTGGACCATGCAATTGCAGTTACTTGCCTGAAAGGAATACGATCTGTTAATGACAAAGAATTTGCTTACAGTGAAGAGGATTTTGATAGAGGCAACTTTTACATAGCTAAATGGGGAATTAAAGTTGAAAGGACAGGTATTTTTTAAACATTACAAATTTTAAAAATTTTATGTTAACAACGATTAAAATTGCCACAAATTTTTCTAGGAAATACTCTTTATTGTTGGCCAGAGAATGAATTGCATGGCACTACAGTATTACCGATGGAAGGTATAACTTGTGGGTTGTCTCAAAATTTGATCAAAAAAACAGTATCAGCTATAAAAAAATGGAGGGAAGGTAAAGAAGAAGCATATTGTATGGATTACTGACATAATCAATTATCAA